CTCGATAGCAGTGGACTTGGTCTGGAATTCAGAGTAGTCAAACAACCGCTATGCACTAAACTACAGTTATGTCTGTGGTTATAATTCCAGGTTGTCTTTTATGAATGAGGTAAAATTAGAGTGCATCTTAAATTCCTGTGAAGACGGTCGAGGAGCAGAAGCTCAAAAGGACAAGGACCTTCCTCCAGAGAGAACATCTTCCCCCAGCCAGGGCCAGTGCCCTGAATTCAGACTTCTAGCCTTCCCTCCTCTAACCGTTAAAGCCATGCACATGTGGTATTACCGTTACACCAGCACCAGATAACTGAGACCGCAAGGTTTCCAAACCTGCACAGCTGGTGAGGGAAAGGGCTGAGCCTCAGACGCAGGTCTGTAGGCTGCATGCTCTCTCACTCGTCTCTCTTGACCGACGACTTTCCTTCTCTCTGGTATTCTCGGATGGCAAAACCAGGGAGGTTACATTTGCTACACTCTAGGCTTTTGTTGGCCTCTCTCAATCCCCAACCAACTTGGGACGTGAATTCTGTCCTCTCCATCCCACGGAGGAGCCCATGGAGGTTAAGAGAATCTATAGAATGCACCCAAGATCACAGACAGAAAGAGTTTGATTTGGAACCCCATTTCCTCATCAAGCAGATTCCTTCTCGACCCCAAATATGAATGGGGGGTGCTGTTAAGTCCTGTCGAGTCACCTGCAACTCATAGTGACCCTATGTACAACAGCCCTAAACCCTGCTCTATCCTGTGCCAATCCTATTGTCTCTGAGACACCTACCCCCATTACCCCAGTCACTGAATCAATCCATCTTATCAAGGGTCTTCCTCTCTTGAGCTGTCCCTCCCAAGCATGATGTCTCTCTCCAAGGACAGGTCCCTCCTTGCAACATGTCCAAAGTATGTCAGACGGAGCTTCAGAATCTTTGCCTCCAAGGAGCAGCCTGGCTTCACCCTCTCCAGGATGAACTTGTCTGTTCTCCTAGCAGTCCATGGTATATTCAATACTCTTCTCCAGCACCACAGTGCAAAGGTATCAATTCTCCTATCATCCCTAGTCACTGTTCAGCTTTCTGAATCATAGGAAGTAACTGCAAAGACCATGGCCCGAATCAGGAACACCTTAGTCTCCAGACTGACATCACTGCTTTTCAGTATTTTGGAGAGGTCTCTGATAGCAAACTTTCCCAACGCAATTCATCTTTTCATTTCCTGGCTGCTGGTACCAAGAGTGTTGATTGTAGAGCCAAGCAAACTGAAGCTGATGACAATCTCAATCTCTTCACCATCCATCATAATGCTGCCAACAGGTGTTTTTATTTTCTAAGTGGCAGTAAATCACTTAGCAGAAAGAAAACAGTAAGAAAGGAAGCCACCCCAGAGGTTCTATAAAGTCCTCAAAAGTCCTCTGAAAAAAGTAACTATAATCCATCTAGGGCTTTGCTGTTACAGGGATCGGCTCATGTAACGCTTCACACAGCCTTCAAAGGGGAATACTGTGCTTATTGTGTTGTTAGGGGCCATCGAGTCAACTCCAACTCGGAGCGACCCTATGAACAAGGGACGTGAGCCCTGCCCTATCCTGTAACTTCCTCATCACCTCTGATATACCTGAACCCACCGTTACAGTCACTGTGTCAATCCAACTCAATGGGGTCTTCCTCTCTTTCCCTAATTTCTACAGGAGGAAAATGAAGCTCAGACATGTGAAAACCAACACAAACCAGATGCCTCTGGGTCAATTCCAACTCAGAGCGATGCCACAGACTGCAGGACAGAGCTGCCCTCCGTGAGGTTTTCATGACTGTGAGTGATGAGAATCAGACGGCTGGGCCTGTATCTCTGGAGGCACCTCTGGGTGGGTTCAAACCACCAGCACATCTGCTAGACTCTAGAACTGCTTGTGTACTTTGGAGAGGTCTCCCAACTTTCCCAATGCAACTCATCTTTTCATTTCCTGGCTGCTGGTACCAAGAGGGTTGATTGTAAAGCCAAGAAAACTGAAGCTGTTGACAATCTTAATCTCTTCAAATGACGGTGCTTGCCTCCATGGCTGGGCATGGGCTCCTGTCCACCACCTTCCCATCTCACTGGGAAAACGGCCTCCTCAGGGACCTTCTTAATGGTTTAAGGAAAGGGACAGAACATAGTTACTGGGGAAATCCTTATCCTTCAAGGATCAATTAATAGCTGGTCACAATCTTTCCAAACCATCCACAGAGTTCTCTAATGTACTAAAGAGAATAGGGACAAGCTATGACGACTTCAAGCAAGTCCCTGAATCCACCCCACCACAGTCACAACCCCTCTGAGCAGAAAGGTACTTCCTTCCACAGTCCACAGCTGGGAACAACTGGACTCAGCAAAACCAAGTGCTGTGTGAACTCACCAACGCTCCCTGGCCAAGGGATGGGCCTGCCCAAGAGGAGGGCAGGGTGGGATCTGAGGACTGCTAACTCTTTTTCAGGGTGGCACGTGCTCATACTTGCTGTAAAATATCACTCACTACTCTAACAGACAACAATAGTACAGAGACAGCTCAGTTGGCCGAGTGGACAGAAAGTGATACTCTCAAGCCAAAGATGGGTGACTTTAATCTGCGGCCCTCAGGCCTGTTTTTAATTGTTTTTGGTGAAACATTCTTCTAGGTCATATAGACCTAGTCTGTCCACTTGCTGTACAGAGGTAACTTGTGGTTGTTGTAAAGCTGAACATTGTGTCACGGATTTGTCAAATGCGATAATGGTTACTCATGGTGGACAGTGTTTGGTGGAGCTCCCAATTAAAACAAGCTTGGAAGCAGGAGTGGCATCCACTTCCGAAATAGCTTGCCTCCGGAAACACTATGAACCTGGAGAGAGGATGAAAGTTATACAAGTGTTCAGGTCTTACGTTCATAGGGTCACTATGAGTCGCCTACGACTCGATGGTACTTAACAAGAACAACAACAGTCTAGACAAGAGGAAGCTACCACATTTTCCTGTAAAAAGAATATGATGCCCTCGTCTTCTTGCCAGGACAACAAAAGCCTAAATAAAGAAACCATAGTTGAGTGGCAGAAATGCTAATGGTAGTATTTGTTTTTCATTTTGTTTCAGCAGGGAGACAAGACGAGCATCCTTTACGAAGCACAGGTGTGCCAGATGGTAATATGAACATTATCTTCATTTAATCCTCCTAATAACCCTATTGTTGCTGTTGTGTTGCATCAAGTGGAACCAACCCATAGCTGACCCTCTGGCCGGTTTCCACAGGCTGTTTGTCACCTGAGAGGAGATTGCCCATCTTTCTCCCATGGAGCAGTTGGTGAATTCGAACCAGATACCTTCAGGACGGCAGCACAGCTTCTTACCACTAGACCATCGGAGCTCCTTAACAATCCTATATTGTTGTTTTATTGTTAGGTGCCATTGAGCACAACTCATAGTGACCCTATCAACAACTGGTCTGAACACTGTCCTATCCCATGCTATCCTCATCATCTGACACACTCAAGCCCACTGCTTCAAGTCAACACACCTGTTTGAAGGTCTTCCTCTCTTCTGTCATTCCTCCACCTTTCCAAGCATGATGTCCCTCTCCAAAGAACAGCATATCAAAGCTTTATCATCTTTGCCTCCAAAGAGCACCCTTGCTGCATCTGTTCTGAGACCTATCTGTTTGTTCTTGTGATAGTCCCTGGGATGTTCAGCACTATTCTCTATAGGGAGCCCGCTGTTGTTCCTTTCCATGAAGTGGATTTTAACTCATGGTGACCCCATGGATGTCAGAGTATGTTGTAACAACATGTACCATGAGTCGGATCTGCCTCATAGCCAACCCTCCAGTGGGCTTCGGAGGCTGTAAATTGCCTAGGAGCTTGCCCATTTTTCCCAAGGAGATTTGAACCCTGTGGCTTTGAACCCTGTACCTTTTGGTTGGCTTAGAGGCCTTACCCCTAAGCCACCAGAGTTTCCCAGAGCAGCCCTACAGAGATTCAAAATCAAACCTCCAGGCCCATCTTCCAAGTCACCTTCAAGTGTGCTCAGACAACCAACATTTCAATGAGTAACTGGACACTTAATTGCATGTACCACGCGAAATAATCCTAATTATCATCAAGGTGAATTTACAGATAAAGAACTGAAGGAGAGCTCTGGTGGCCTAGTGGCAAGAAGCTGCACTGCAATCCCAGAGGCACTGGGTTCAAATCCACCAGATGTTCTCCTGGGGAAGGAGGGACAATCTCCTCCAGTACCAGTCAGATCCGATTTGACAGTACACAAACAAAAATAATAAAATAAATATTTTTTTTAAAACCAACCCCAAAACAGATAGGGAACTGAGGCTCAGCAGTTTAAGAAACATGCACAAAATCAACAGCTAGTAAGAAGCAGGGCTGAGATTTGACCCCAAGTTTATCTGGCTCCAAAGCCTGTTATTGTCCATGATGCACTGCTGCCTCCACAAGCTGCCTATGGTCCATGAGCTGCAGCTGCAGAGGCCGATGAAAACCTTCAAAATCAGAGTCTGTGAACCTAGCGACCTGGCAGAACTATTTTTAGCTTCACAGAACTATAAAAACCAACCTGTGATTTCTTAGTTATGGCAATTAAGTCAAAGGAACTACAGACATTTCTATAATTCCGATCTATCTGGATCACAAGCCTGAAGAGGCAAGGATTTTACAGGAGACAGAGGTTGGTTCTGTGATAAAACATGCACTTTAGGCAAGAAAGGATATCATTAAAATGTCCACACATCGCAGAGGACTTTGAAAGCATTTCTGTAATTACATATAATTTAGTCTCTGCTAACTTTCTTAATAAGATTAAAAATTCAAACCCACCCAAGAAAACATGCCAGAGTGTTTCCTTATGATCCCCTTGGCCCCGTCATCCCACCCCAGGTGAGGACTGACGCTCCTCCCCTATCCTTCAAAGATCTGAGCTTTCAGTTCTTCCCGAAGGAAGCACATGTTTCCTCATGCACACTGCGGGGCGGAGGGAAGAGGAAGAACACCCACCTCAGAAAAGAACTCGTCCATGAAAGCCGTGTTGTCAATCGCAATCTCGACCTCATCCGTGTCGTCATCCTGAGTCAGCTGCTTCTGAAAAAGCCAGGAAAGAGCAAGATGAGAAAAAGAACTTTAGGATTAACATTAGTCATTAGTAGTGGCTATTCACAAAGTTCCAGGAAATACATTAAGCATTTTACAGACGCTCTTTCCTTCCAAATTCATAACTCTCTGTAAAGGGTATCAAATTCAATTCTACTACTGCCTTAATTTAAATCCAAGGTTCTAAAACAGTTCCAGTGGGGTTCCAAAGGGTTCTGAAAGGGATGTGTACATGTTGCTTGGCAACCAGAGTTATCACCTGTTGTACAAGGGGTTTCTCTGAGCCGGAAGTAACAAGGAAGTGGGCAGCAGTACCCTACTCAAAAATGGCAGCCAAATGCATTTGAATCTGCTGGCCGCCATCTTTGAGCAGGGCATGACTGCTTGTTTCCTACAAGTCAAAATCCACACTACCTTTGTTTCTGTGCACCATGTATGAACTAGTTTGAGCCAGTTTATTTAAAACCCCTTACTGATTTTTAAGGGAAGGGGCTGGGCAATTCACTAGCTTTGCTGTGTTTCAGTTTCTTCATGCATTAAACGTCAGTGATAACACTACCAATTTAGCCTAGGGTTGGTTAAAGAATACATGAAACAATATAACGGATATTCTCTCTCTCTCTCTACTGCCACTGGGTGAAAAACGACTCATAGCTGACTCTCCAGTGAGTTTTCAGAGGCTATAAATCAGATGGCAGGAGACTGCCTCTGGCTTTCTCCCATAGAGCTACTGGTGAATTTGAACAGTCAAACTTTGAGTTAACAGCACAACTCCTTACCCACAAGGCTACCAGAGAAAGTAGCTCACCACCTGAACAAGGATTTAAATCCTGGACCATTCCATTAAAAGTCTAATGCTCTACCAAATGCCCAACATATTATAAATAAATACTTAGTAAATGTTAGGTTTTCCCGTTTTTGTTGCAACAGCATAAGGCAGAAACTTTCAGAGAAATAAAATTCAAATATTTTACACTAAAATGATAGGGGTTTGAAAATGCTAGACTGTACCCTGTTGGAGAGGTAAAACTTCGCAAATGCAGAAAACAAGGCTGATTCATCATTTAAGATACTCCACTTGAGCTAAAAATCTAAAGGGGTTTCTTATTGGCTAATGTGATGTAGTCAAGATCTGGGGGTTGGGAAGTTCTGGACCCCCTGTTCCTATGTAAGACTCAGCCCACCAGGAGTCTGTAACAGCTTCTAGTCACAATTTGCTCAAAGCACCTGCACTAGCCTCCCCATGGAAGGCAAACACCTTCCTGTTCTCAGGAAAGTTTCCTGTTTCCTCTTGAAGGTAAACAGTTCTGTGTGTTGTTCACTGTCAAAGAGTCCATGTTTATAAGGAAGCGGAAGTTCTACCTCTAGGTCCTTAGCAACATCCTGAGGCCTCCGTTTTCTCAACCTCACCCAATTTCATCTGCAAATGCACAAAATGGGAAGGAAGACACTAAAGTAAGTGCTTCCAGTCCCCACCAGCTGGTTCCACATTCTTCCAGAATGTTCCCTCTCATGCTATTGCTACATATGTTAGTCTCCAAGCACATAAAAAATGATAGTTGTGGGAGGGAAATGGGTAAAGCCCCTATACTTGTTTCTACATAACTTAAAGCGCCTGTAACCTTCTGAGGCCAACACGTGGCACTCTCACCCACTCAGAATGTCAAGGGCAATGAAAACCATCAGTGGTCACTTCTTTTTGTTCCCTACAATCCCCTTAAGTAAGTCTTAAAATCAGTTAGAAAAGATCCAGTCACAGCCAGAGAAAACCATGGGGACATAGGTGTCACACACTAACCAAATCTCTTGGATCAGATTTTGACTCAAGTAGCAAACAGACAGAGGTGTCCCACTCAAAGATGACAGCCAATCACATTTCAAAGCTATTTGGCCACTATATTTGGGCAGGGCATCACTTTGTATTTCCTGCACAGGTCAAAACTGGAAGCAAATGATTTGGTTGATGTGTAATGTGTGTGAATACTTGTTTCTGTTAGTCATAGCTAAGCTGTTTAAAATACTGTAGCAGACGGAATTGGTATAAATGCTCAGGGAAAACTGGGGCTTTCTAACACTTTGAGGACTCTGTTTTGACTGACTTTCCCATTTTCCCAGTCTCTGGCTTGTCTGAAACCACTAGCACCCCAAACTTAAGTCACACTGACAACCTCCAAAGACCTCTCCAGAGTCCTAAAAAGCAATGATGACAGTCTAGAGACCAAGGTGCACATGATCCAGGCCATGGTTTTTGCAATTACTTCCTATGTATCAGAGCTGGACAATGACCAAAGATGACAGAAGAACTGATACCTTTGATCTGTGGTGCTAGAGCAGAGTAATGAACATAGCATGGACCACCAAGAACAAATGAGTTTATCCTAGAGAGGGTGAAACCAGGCTGCTCCCTGGAGGCAAGGATTCTGAAGCTCTGTCTCACATATTTTGGGCATGTGACCAGGAGTAACCAGACCCTGGAAATGGGCATCTTGCTTGGAAGAGTGGAGGGATAGTGCAGGAGGGGAAGATCCCAGATGAGATGGACAGTCATAGAACTGGGGTAATGAGGGTAGGTGTGTCAGAGGCAGTGAGAATGGCTCAGGATAGATCAGGGTTCAGAGCTATTGTGCCTGAGTTCGCTCTGAGTCAACTCAACAGCACATAACAATAAACAGCCTCCATGTACCTGGGTAATGCAAATGGTTTGCTATTGGCCACTAGGCAAAACGGTGGCTGGCTGAATCCATTCAGTCATGCTGCCAAAAAACTGTCTGGAAATGCATTTCTGCAAGATCAACACCTGTTGAAAACTTTATTAAGTAGCTCTACTCTGACACAGTGAGCTCAGGAGCTTAGTGGCAAGGAGTTGGGCTACCAATCCAAACGCCCACAGTTCAAATCCACCAGTAGTTCTGTGGGAGAAACATGGGCAATCTCCTCCCATGTGATTTACAGCCTCTGAAAATCAACTCAAAGGGTCAGCCATGAGTCATTTCCCAAACAAGAAATGGAACACAACAATCACAAACAAATCCAACGTGCACGGCATGCCATGAGTTAGGATCCACAAGCTTGGTTTGAGGATTGTGGGGTGTTTCATGTGTGTGTGTATGTGTATGTGTGTGTGTGTGTGTGTGTGTGTGTGTGCACGCGCGCGTGCATGTTTTCTAAAGCCTCCACAATAATCTTCCTAAAGCTCAGAACTGAACATATCCCTCTACCACTTAACTCGGTCACCTCTTGGGATTGAAAGTTCCCAAGCCTAAAAAGATTTCCATTTACTTGGATTAAAACTCAACACAACAGGCAAGAAATAAAATGACTTCTTGCTTTGGGTAAACTTGTTTTACAAAACACCTCTTTATTAAGTATTGAAGAGCAAGGTGTTAGAGAAGAGTCCTGACTATCTGACAGGCTGCTAAAAATAACCAGTCTGTCTTGGAGGAAGTGCACCAAGGTGTGGCTTAGAGGCAAGGCTAGCAAAACTTCATCTCCCTTGCTTTGGGTATGCTGTTGGGGGGGGGGGGCGAGGACTTGGAGAGTTACATCATGCTGGGAAAGCTGGAGGGTCAGAGAAAGAGAGGGAAACCAGATGGACAGACACAGTGACTGCAACGATGGGCTTTGTCATTTCAGGGATTATGAGATGGTACAGGCTAGGGTCAAGAGACAAATTGCATTGGGAAAGTCAGCTGTGAGGGACCTCTCAAGAATACTGAAGAGCAATGACATCAGGCTCGAGACTAAGTTGCGCCTGATCCAGGCTATAGTCTTTGCAATTACATGCTATGCATCAGAGAGTTGGACGGTGACCAGGGATGACAGAAAGAGAATTGATGTCTTTTAGCTGTGGTGCTGGAGAACAGTGTTGAATATACCATGGACTGCTAGAACAAACAGGTTTGTCCTGGAGAAGGTGAAGCCGGAATGCTCCTTGGGAGTCAAGGATTCTGAAGCTTCGTCTGACATACTTTGGGCATGTTGCAAGGAAGGACTGGTCCTTGGAGAGGGATGTCATGTTTGGGAGAGTGGAGGGGCAGCAAAGGATAGGAAGACCCTCAATGAGATGGATCGATTCTGTGAGTGGAGCGGTGGGAATGAATGTATTTGAGATGGCTAGGTTGGCACAGGATAAGACGACGTTTAGGGCTCTTGTACATAGGGTTGCTATGAGTCACAAGTGTCTCGATGGCACATAACAACAACAACAACAACAGGCTAGGGCAAGGTCCACTATGCTGGAGTCACTATGAGTCGTAGTGGACTCAACAGCACCTACCAACAACAAAGAGCAAAGACGTCACTCCAAAGACTAAGAGACGCCTGACCTAAGTCATCGTCTTTTCAGCTGCTTCCTGTGCACGTGAAAGTCAGGCAATGGCTAAGGAAGGCTGATCTGATGCCTAAAGAAGAAGAAATGGTGCCCTGAACTGGTGGTGCGGAGGAAGAACACTGAATATACAGCAGCCACAAGAACAAATGAACTGATCTTGAAAAAAGCGCAGCCAGAATGCTCCTTAGAAGCAGGATGGCGGGGAGCTCTGGTGGTCTAATGGCAAGGAGCTGCAACTACAATCACAGAGGTGCATGGTTCGAATCCACCAGATGTTCTGCCGGGGAAGGAGGGACAATCTCCTCCTGTACCAGTCAGATCTGATTTGACGGTACACTCACACAAAAATAATAAAATTTAAAAAAAGAAGCAGGATGGCAAGACTGCCTCACATATTCGGGGCACGATTTCAGCAGGGGCTGAAAAAAACGACACCCAGCTTTACAAGGTTAGCGGAAAACACGAAGACCATCAATGAGGCAGACACAGGGCTGCAGCACCGAGGGGGCAGTGCGAGGGGGCAGGACTGCAGCGTGATGTCGCTGCACACAGTGCACTAGGGATTGGATTGGACTCTCCCAGGCTGTGCCTTCTTCCTGCGGTGCCTCTGACGAGTTAGCGAATTTTACACCACCTTTAAAACTCCATTTATATAACCTTC